GAATATTATATAATTTAATTGACATAGAATAAAGTTCATAAGACATAAGANTATATTATAATTGACATAGAATAAAGTTCATAAGACATAAGAAATTAAACTTATTTTAATTTTTTTGCTTTTTTAAAGTCGGAAAAGTAACTTGTAAATTTGAATTAGTTAAATAGCTAATTTTATCGTGCAACGAAAGCGACGAACAGTTGCCGCCGAAACGGTAATGCTTGTATCTTTTATGCTTACGGTACGAGGTTATATTTCGTCTATGGCAATTATTACTTTGTATTTTTTTTTGAGTTAGAATAAAATTTTCAAATCATTTGATATTTATCTCATAGACTCCCCTCGCGCGAAGAAATTTATATTCATGTTAATATTATTTTACTATGTGGTTCTTTTTGTGGCTACGATTTATTTTACCAACCCTCACTAGACATACTTTTTTCAAGGATACGTCAAATGATTATATTTCGTATTTAGTTTAAGTTATTACTCTTAAAAATCGAAAAAATATTCCTTATTCAAATAAAAAGTAGCATAACCAACTTTTTCCATTCACACAATTAAAATCATTAATTTCTAATATTCTTAAAGTATTTATTGTCGAATTAGATTTGATATGGTAAAAGTATTCAATTACAAAAGTAAATAATTATACTTTGTAATTAATTAAATTTTTAACTCTATTTATGTGCGCTACTACCAGTCTATAATATTCCAAATTTCTTTGTAACATGTTGCTATATAAATCATAAATTAAAAAAAAAATGATTTTTAGTTTCACCTAGATTTAACGATGGATTTTTACAATTAAAATCAAATTTTATAAAACGCTCAATTGAGTAAATCTTTTTTAACAACTTTTTTTTTATTGGTTTTTTTAGTTATATAATCATTAAAATTAATGAAATTCTGAATATTTCCATTGTACAATCTTTTTAAACGCCAAAAGTTAATAAGAAATGATTACTATGATTTTTATTTAAGTGATCTATTACAATAAAAATATAAAAAAATCGAAATTTTCTGATAAATTTTTTGTAAATAGTAAATATAAAATTTCCTAATTTCATATTAATCTTAATAATTTCATTTTTTTCTATTTAATAATATCAATTTTAAACTTGCAAGTTGAGCTAAAAGTTATGGTAATAAATTCATTTTTTTTTATTAAAACTTTCACTTTAAAGGACAAAAAAAAGTAGGTTCAACATGATTACTTTTAACATATTAAAAATCAAAATCAATAATTATTTGAAAACAATTCAATATAAAAATTATATAATATATAATTAAAAGAATTACTAATCTGGGTATAATTAAGGAAATAGAAGTTGATGTTGCTTTTGTAATTATCCATCAATTTTTTTAAATTACATACACTATCTACAGATTTGCATCGAAGCAATTTCTTAAGATAGTGATTTTAATCACTGTCAGATTAAAACTATACTGGGTCCAGTAGGACCCAACTATGCAACGTCTCCACTATGCCGCGACCCCACTGAGCTGGGTAATTATTGTTTGAAAAGGATTATGTCCTAAGAATTGTCGAATTTTCGGTGTTACCGCCGGATGGCGAACGCGGCACTTCCTCTTCACGTACGACAGGACTCACTATGCGGGGTAACCCGCAATATTTTGTTTGAAATATTTCAGACTTAAATCAGAACATTTAGTACACTTTAAAAGCTTTCATTTGGTGTGATGCTCAGTATAAGTGGGCGTTGATCGTAAGCTTGAAGGTTTAGGAGAAAGGTAGGCAGTTAGTATGTCTAACGGTAATGATTAAAAAAAAATTTCTTCGAGGACTAGAAAAAAAAAACAAATATAGTCAATAATTATATTAAAAATAGACATATAAATTTAATATGACTCAATTATATTGAGATTAAATTTTATAAATATATAAAAATGTTGAATGGAATAGGTTATATAATAATAATACTTATAATACCAGTAAAAGGAATGTGACTTTTGTAACTACCTAACAAATGTAAATATATATTATAAACTATATATTATCTTAAAAGTATTGAAGTTAATTTATTGTACTTATAGTGTGTTGTTTAATAATATCATTAAAAAATATGTACTTTAATAATAAAAAAGCACTGTTTGTCAGCTTATTGAAATTTGGTACAACATATTTGAGACATTCTAAATTCAAAATTTAAAACAACAATGCTTAAAATATTAATAAGTTGCTCTCTAAATCTAACTAATAAATTAAACAAGTATAAAAATAATAAATATATTAACGTATGAGCAAAATGGGATATTTGAGGTATTTTTTAACGTTGTTATAATACACATATTCATATTTTAACTAATAAACGATGCTTTTGGCATGTGTATTAAGTGACAATGTCCTAAGTTAAGGGTAATTAAAGATAATATAAGAAGGCTTTGTTCTGCTCGCATGCCTGAGCAGGTTCTAGATTCAATCCAGAATTCAGTTCGTTTTTTATCGAAACCTAAGTAACTTGGTATACTATAGGATTTTCATTAGAGTATGTCGTCGGCATGGCTTTGTTTAATGTATTATCAATAAATTTTTCGCAATTATTTGCCTAGTTTTTATAAAGTCATTTCAATATAAAAATATCTTCATTGATTTTTTATAACAACTAATTTTTTGGGATATTTCAATTTATTATGGGAATTTAGGGGAATTTTTCAAAATTATGATACTGATAATCTCAACTATACACGTTTCATGATTTTTTTGGATATCTTTATATCGTTGGGCAAAAATGGTCCAATTAATCGTGTGTACTGAAAAAAAACATGACAGAGTAAATAAAAATAGCTTCTTAGCTACGCATTGAAGCTTAATTTATTAATAGTATTAATTTAGTATATACTATACAATATTGATTTTTAACAGTAAAACTTAAATACGACGCTTTTAAATTAATCCTGAAGTAATCTCATTTATGTAGTCTACTTATACGTAAAAAATTATATTTGAGAAGAAAATTATTTTTGTTATTTAAAGCAATATTGTTAATGTATTCCACAAAACTAATTATACTAAGGTACTAGTGCCTATAACTTCACATCAAAATAAGCTATCACTGTGGAACTTTTTTCAAAAAAAAATTTTTTGAACATCGAAATTTTTATTTAATTTATTTTTAAATTTTGCAGTATTTTAATAGCAAAATTTGAAAGTCAAAAAATTTTTTAATAAATTTTTTTTTTTTCAGAATCTTTTAGTTATGTTCTTTTAACCCATATCATATTTGAATCGATTTATAAATTTTTTTGTATCCTTTTACGGTATTGAACACGTAAGGTTTGCTGAAAATAGCCAAATTTATCATCTCATTACACAAAAGTGACTGAACGAATTTTTTTCAAATTTTTTTTTAAAGTAATTAACTTTATGAAGAAAAGTAATGGAGCTTTTCCGAACTTGGCCATTGCTCCTAGTATTTTTTTATGAGTCCCAATAACTTAATCTACTACAGAACTCAGAATAAATACAAGAAATAAAATTTGAGTGTTGAAAATTACGTAGTTTGTGGATTTTCCATAATACGCAAATTGTAAATTTTGTAAATTCTATAAGAAGCGTTAAAATTATTTCTCCATCATAAAATGTTCACCAGACGTTTTAATTGCCTAAAGAAAAGTACTATGTAAATTTGAAAAAAATTTGTTCACTCACTTTTGTGTAATGAGATGATAAAGTTGACTATTTTCAGCAAACCTTGCGTGTTCAAGATCGTAAAACGATACAAAAAAAATTACAATATACATTTTATTATACTTATAAATATATTTGTTTATATTTACGGGTAAAGCCCAAGTTATAACTACAAGTTTAGAATTGATTATTTATAATATCAAGTTTTAGTTGGTATCAAAATTTAATAACGGTTGTTTAACAAAAGAAACTCAATCTAAACTTTTTAAATTACGTAATTCGTAATTTAATTTTGAATCTGCCAGAATATAATGACAAATGTGCAAAAGTAATAATTTTAATAAAAAAACATCTTAAATAGGAATAAAGCAAACAGTGACGGAATGTCTGAATAGAATATTGTATTTCTCAAGAATAAACATTCATAGAATACGTATACAATTGAATGTATTTGACAAAAGAGAGATAATTTTTATCTTGAATGCTGTCGTGGTTCTTTGTCCCGTGCCTTATGGTAATACCCTTTGTTTGGGCATGATCTCTTACTACTAAAAGATCTTCGATAAAATTAAATAAAAACGTAAAAGACGAAAAAATAGATATGCGTATATTATATGTACGCGAGCTGTACAAAGGTAGACTGATCGATTTTAAAACCGGACAACTATGTAGCCGCCGAACAACGATGAAATAAAAAATAACAACGACAGTTAAATCTTGACAATTAAACTTATTAAGTACATTAAAATCGGGGCTTAAAACCATTTATATAACATTATTATAATTATAGTCATCAAAATAAATTTGTATGTATAAAATACTATGGGGAAATATATAGGATGTAAAATATATTCTGGTTTATATGTTTTCGAAGCTTTGGAAAACTATTCTATATAATAAAATACAGTTAAGGTAAAGGTGGTATAAGCTAATTTTTTCCCTGTTGTTTAGTCAAGCTCCGAACTAATTGTTTTAATTTTTGTTTCTGTAATAATTAATATTCTGTTACAGATTTTCTTAAAATGGTATTTGATGCTATCCAGAAAATTATAAATAATATTAGTCTACGTATAAAAAATAATTGTAATCTTATATATTAGATTAGGTAATATATTATTTTATAAAATATGACAAATTTGAAAAAATAGAAGTACATTAAAATATATTTATTATGATAGAACTAATACTAATGTAATTTTTAGTAATTATAAAACAATAATTTAAGCTTTGTAATTATATTGGTATTAATAGAAGACGTTTTCTATTTTAATAAAAAAACGCTAGTTTATATCAAATAAGAAACAAAAATTTTAATGTAATGTTAAAATTATTATTAATCCATTTTTATATCTTTTGCACATTATCATTATATTTTCTTAAAAATATATTTCTATTTTAAAAGTAATCAAGTAGCCGAGATCAGCTCGAGAGCTGACATCAAGTCCAACAGGTCCTCGCCACGCTGATTAGTGTCAACTGATCCCCACACAGGGGAGTGGGCTTTAAAGTCCCAACCACGTATTCTCCACAGTCATTACGCGTCCACCCAAGCCGCCTTACTCTGTAGCGAGAAGAGACCGGCAAACTCGGCGACGCGTAGCAGCCAAGATGTCCATGCCGTCTATCCTCGCAACTAGGTAATCGGCGCCCGACTCGATGTCCGCGACCGGGGGCAACTGATTTTACTCTGGCATCCGACTAACGAAATAGGCCAAATCACGTTGTGAAATGTAGAGACGGAATGGGACGCCCTAAAGTAATGCCTAACGGCAATTTCAGGGCGGTCCACATTAATGCCGGTCATGGTAAAAAAAAAAAAACGTGTTTTACAACGGCATGATGTGGCAAATGGTATTTTCCTTGTTGCATGGCATTTTTCATATGACCGAGATTTTCATACCTAGACATAAATTTATGGTATTTATTATATAAAATCAGATCCTCTATAAGTTCGCGTTCTAAATTCAAAAATAGAGAAACTTACATTTTACGTGAACCACCTAACAATGACGGATCCAACCGAAACGATAAAGAAACTACAAATCGTCTAGTTTGAGAGTCTTGACTAGTTGTAAGAGTGAAATGTTCTTCACATTTTTGAACATTAGTGAATAATTTTTTTGAAGGTGCTGGCTCCTCTATTTTCCAAAATGTATTAAATATCATATCGATTGATAATGTATTAATTAAACACAGAGAAACAGCTGACGAATATTCTTTTTTATCTTTTGTCTTATTATGATCCATTCAATCATAGTTTCATAAGCAGAGGGTAATCTGGAACACGGAGAAAAATAAAAATAGATACAAAGTAAGAATAGGTACTTGGAATGTTGGAACATTAACTGATAGAAGTAGAGAATTAGTAGAAGTATTGGAGAGGATAAAAGTTAATATTTGTTGTGTGCAGGGAACTAAGCGAAAAGAAGAGAAATCAAGGGATATAGGTGAGGGTTAAAAAATAATATACTCAGGGAAGTATAGTTCAAAAAATGGTGTAGGGATAATATTGGATGAGGAAATGAAAAGTAAAGTAGTAGAAGTAGCTAGGAAAAGTGACAGGATTATGGTTCTGAAATTGATATTCGAGGGAAAAGTGCTGAATATAATAAGTGCCTATGCATCACAAGTGGGATGTGATGCAATAGACAAGGAAGAGTTTTAGAGAGAGATGGATAAGGTGATGCAAGGGGTAACTAGCAATGAGGATGAGGTGATAGGTGGAGATATCAATGGACATGTAGGTAATGAGAGGAGATGATATGATAGAGTACATGGAGGATATGTTTTTAGTGGGAAGAATGAGGCTGGAGAAAGAATACTGGATTTTGCAGTATCGTATGATCTTGATGTGGTTAATACTTATTTTATGTGGAAGAGAGAGAGAGCGTAAATTACTATACTTATAAGTTAGTAAAAAATAAAAAACAAAATATTTAAAAAATTTTTTGAGGATCAATATTCCAAACACTATAATAATTTTCCTAAAATCATACCTAAAGAAGAATGGTAAACAGCAGAATTCTTTTTACATATAATTTTAGATAAAAAAAAAAAAGAAACATATTTTCTTATAATTTTAATACTCTTACTTTTAAATTCAATTAACTTTAGATCTAGAAATATTTAATATCATTAAACAAATTTTTCAAATCAAAATCAAAATATTTAACTAATATAATCCTAACATTATTTTAAAAAAAAAAAACATTCTTTTTACATATTTTAACATATAATTTTGATATTTTTGCCCTTATATTTACTAATTAAATTTTAGATTAACATTTTTTTATACAACTTTAATAACTATAAAAGGAAATATAAACAACAAAAAAAAAACAATTTTAACATAACCCAATCATAATTTTTTTAGATTTAATTAACATTTGTTCAAAAATTTTTTTTTTTTTACAATTTTAACACTAATTATAAAAAAATATATAGCTTAACATATAAGTATATATTATTAATTGTGAACATACAACTTTAATCATACATTAATCCTAGTTTTAATATTACTCATAAATAAAATATAATTATTTAAATTTTCAAACATACATGTATAAGCTAATTTAATTTTAACTTTATCATTATATCAAAAACCATATATTTTTTTTTAACTTGTTCAACTATCAAAAATGTAGTTATAGAATTATAAGTTTTATTTAATGTTAAAAAAATCAATTCATCACCTTCAAATTAACAAATGACAACAAAATATAGATCTATTGTACTCAATTTCCTAGGTTTAAAGCATCAAAAAAAAAAAATGTCTCTAATCACAGACACATCGCTATATAATGACGAAATCATCAATCGCTTCATGAGCTGTTAACAAGAAGAAGTGAAGACAGAATTTTTGCCTTTGACACCTTCTTCATTCCTGAGATTGACAGAAGAGGACTCGATGCCATCAACTCAAGATTCAAAGAAAATCTCTTCCTAAAAACCATGGCACTAGCTCCAATACATGTTAACAGTAATCACTGGATCATAGCAGTGATTGACACACAACAACGCGAAATCATCTGCTATGACAGTCTGGGTCATCATAATATAAACGAAGTAACAAAGATCCAACAGTTCATGATAAAACATGAATTACGTATGGGTGGATCTGAATCCATGTGGCCTATATTCAGGGGAGAAACCACAATTCAAGAGAATAACTATGATTGCGGACCATGGATTCTGGAAATTGCAGAGAAAGTGACCAGAGGAGACCCACCATTACCTGACAAAAACAACATGAAGGAAAGAAGACAACTACACAGCAAATGGTTAGAAGAAGACAAAATACATTTATATCACAATACCGACCAGTTCACAAATCCCCCACCTCTCCGGCCCTCTTCGCCAACTAATATTAAAGTTATAGAAATCGACAGAAGAAGTATCAAAAATATAAAAAACAAAATGAGAAAAATATTAAACGGCACAAGAAAGAAAACCCGATTGCGACAATATCTAAAGAAAAACAATATCTTAAAAATACGTTTAAATACAAATTCAGAACTAGAACCAAGTAAAACAAAAATATATAGCAAAACAGCTACACAGGCTCAACAAACCTAGTGGAACAATAGTACAATAGTTTAAATTTCATCAAAATCACGGCTACAACAGAACAATCAACGGCAACTCAAATTCAAATTAAATCCCATCTTTATTTTTATATAAATATATTTAAAATTACCCTCTTTACACTAAATATCTGTTTTATAATACATTAACTCATATTGTATTTTTCTAAAAAGATAACATCATTGAAATTGTTATATTAATCTAATAAACATACAAAATTTTTTTTTCATTAAAATAAATGACAAAATAAAATAAAACGTTTATTGTAAGTGATTCTAATTAAATGTTTGTCAATTAAAAACCGAACAAATTTACTAAAAAAAAAAAAAAATCATAATTTAATCTTAAGTATATCATTTTATATAATAAATTAAGCTAGAATTAATATATCTATTTTGTATAACGAACATATAACTAACATACATGACAACATTTATACTATTATATTTTTATACTATTATATCATTATATCACTTGAATACATTTATATACACAATTATTAATTTTAAACATTTGTCTTTATAAGTTCTGTAATAGGTTCACATGAGGACATGTGAAAAAAAAGATCGTGGTGCATATTGTAGTATCACACTTTAATACATGTAATAATTAATACTTATATTTAATAAAATATATCACCAAATCAGTGTTTCCCCGTGGATAAGATGAATAATAAAATAATACCCTTACACAAGATTTAATCTCCCTCTTACGCATTCCATAAAACGCCCACGTAAAAGATTCTATCACATTAACCAATCAAATACAGCAAAAATATTTCAAGAATCTCACCAGAGATCGCTAAACCAGTTTTTGCAGGCTATAAAAAGGCCAATTTCCCCCAAATTCGGGTGGTTCCTTTGCACTTGGCTCTCTTACTGTGGTTGCTCTGAACATCCCTCTAGCGAATACTGGGACGCTTTGCCATTCTATACATCTCTACGGCTCTCTGCAATACTCAACTAAGATACAAAAAGTGAATGTGCGTGAGTTTATGTTTCATTCTAGTAACAATTCTATATGAAATCTACATAATTTTTACCCTCTTTCGTAATTACTGAAAAATATTATACATCTTATTTTCGGTCGAATACTTTTGGTGATATAAATATTCTGACACATATAAAATATTGGTGTTTATTTATTTCTTTTTGTTTACATTTATATTTATATATATATAAGCATATTCTAAGGTACTTAATTTGATTGAATTGTATTTATTACTTATTGAAGGGCCATACCTGGCTGGACAGGGTAATAGTACAATAATATCATAATTAGAATTTTAGTTAATCTTAAAATTTTTTTCAAAGTGTCTCTCCACTTATCGACTAGCTAGTCTGATCTCTGCCACAGTGCGGGCAATCGGAGTGTAGGACACTTATATAATTTACAACGCATAAATTATTAATATTATTTTGTAGTATACATTAGATATTCTAAGGTAATTAATTTGATTGAATTGTATTTACTACTTATTGAAGGGCCACAACCTGGCTGGACAGGGTAATAGTACAATAATATCATAATTAGAATTTTAGTTAACCATAAGATTTCTTCATAGTGTCTCTCCACTTATCGACTAGCTAGTCTGATCTCTGCCACAGTGCGGGCAATCGGAGTGTAGGACACTAACATAACTTATCGTGCATAAATCTATAGTACAGTCGCATCTAACCTAGGTCGTCCTACAGGTGATTGAAAAGAAGTAGGCCACATATCATAAGGTTCTTTGCATAAAGACAAAGATATTATTTGAGATCTCGCGTTGGTATATCCATCTACGAAATACAAATAAATCAGAGTCGAAATATTATACTAATATATATTTATAACTAACATTATACTAAACAACTAAAAGTGTCTCTCCACTTATCGACTAGCTAGTCTGATCTCAGCCACAGTGCGGGCAATCGGAGTGTAGGACTCTAGTATAATCTATTGTGCAAAGAACCAAAATTGAGCTCACATCTACCCTAGATCACTCTTTGGACGACTGAAAAGACGTAGGCCACTTGGAAATAGTTTGTTGCACAGGACAGTTATGTTGTTTAGAAGTTCTTTATTTGCTTTATAAATTATTAAATAATAAATATATTAACGTAAAACATCATATACAAGGTTAAGAACTATACTACATAAATATACAAAAGGTTTTTGCAAAAAGACAGAGTTATAACAAACTTAGATTTCACCTTGGGTAGATTTAATATAGAATTGTACTAGAAAAGTAGTTACACGCGAGTTANAGATTTGATATAGAATTGTACTAGAAAAGTAGTTACACGCAAGTTAATAATAATTTAAACCGTATAAATATAATTGCGTACATTAATGCGTAAATGTATACATCGATAATTGTTACATCAACAACATCATTCATCTCAAGAGAATATCAGGATAGTCAGAGGTAAGTGAAACATTTGTTTACATAATAAGTCTATAATAGATCCTTTACTGAAGAATTTTTTAGTACTAAACAATTAGAACAGGATAGGTCATTGATAATAAACTAAAATATTTTTATAAAAAACACGATACTTGTGACTCGCCGGAAATTAGTGTACGCGTTTCTGTGCAGGAGCTAGGTAGTGACCCTTCTTTGTAATTCCTACTTATTCATACATTAGACGTCTTTACGCAAGCATACATACCCCGAGATCCCTTTCTATTTCAATTTATTGTAGTCACTGCTGGGTATCTATAGACACTTTTACTTTCCATTGGTGCCCATCCTTTTTACACTACGCCCTCTACGATTATTATTTCCTTATTGCCCACCTGTGTTACATTTCTTCCCTTTCACACCCCGAACCCTAACACACTTAACAACATTCCTTTGCTACCGCCACCTACCC